CCAACCCTCGGCGTGTAGCGTAGGTTGCATCCCAGAGAAGAGGAAGACAGGTTATTCTATATGGCGTTCATTACAGACTGTATAATACGCGACTGACATGTGTCCACTGGAGATGTGTCACTGACAGAAAAACCCAGTCAACCTATCAGGATTCCTCACAACACAAAAACTAACAATCGTCTTGGGGCTACTAGACCCCCAGGTTTCAGGAATAAATTGATATTATATTGTTCACCTGCTGCTGCAGTACATAACTCCTATAGAAGTGTTAGAATTATGAAATAAATTGATATTACCCGGTATATTGTGCATCTGCTGGTGCTGTACAGAACTATTATTTCTCTGAACTAGTTTGCAGAAAAGTTAGAAATTGGGAATATGGCTTGTTGAATATATTATGATATATAATATTTGGTCATTGTATATAATAAATATATTCAATTCTCTCTTATTTTTGTTTTATCGTCTCCTACACGGACTGGTCTACTATGTTTCTAAAGCTTATCACCCCTAATCACCGGTGCATAACTTTGTTTTCATAACACTATAGACGAACTATAGCTACACCCATAGCTCAATACAAGAAATAGTAATGTACATACAACTCTATTAATAATAATGTTAATAATACATAAAAAACAACCACTACACAACACAATTGCCATGTACTAGAGAAACAAGGAGTCCAATTGCACGTGCATGTTCGCATTTAATCATAGGTTCATTAACAGTTTATTTAATTTCACAATTCCCAATAATTACAAAATTTGTCACTTAGTTATTCGATGCCAAAATGATTTCGCTTACCCTACACCCAAATTAATTTACAGTGGACCATTATGTTTCTATGAGAGATGAGATGATAAAACAATTTCTACACTCTCAGTTATATAGTCTGAAAAATATTAATAACAATCAGGTAGTGAATTCTGGCACCGATGCAACATGGTCGTGACTTTGTGGGGATACGTTGAAAAAAGTAATTAAGATATGCATCGAGTGAGGAAACATGTTATTTTTAATTGGATTAGACTCACGATACGATACATATTGAAGTATTTAGAATCTAGTTGCAATTAGGCAGGGTTTTACGGGTCTAGAGCTTTACAGATGCGTATGATATTCCGATGAGTGGATGGGAAGAAAATTGTGAAATAACTGTTTCATATTCTTAGTTTATTTCTGAAGGATCTCATAAAAACGACGAAGAACTGACGATAACCTAACAGACACTCTCATCCCGCACAGGAAATAGTTAATCTGTATTGATTGCCTGTCTCGTGTCAATTTCAATTAAAGTTGAAATTTTATTATGAAATAGAATATGTGTTTCGTAAGCTTTCTTTAAGTTTCAGCTTTTATACAAGTTTTTTTCTTTTTGCTTCATGGATATCAAAACATTTTGAAAATAAACTGAAGTAACAAAAAACGTTTGATTTTGTATTTTGAAGTGGCAGTTCCTAATTTATTATGAATGATGTTGAAAGGTCACAGGGCATGACAGCAAAAATAGTCTTTTCAAGCCTCATCCATCAAAACCCCATTACTTTTCTCGCGTTTAGAATTTCTGGGTCACACACGGGAAAAAAAACAATTTAAATTTTGTAACCAAATCTACAACAGAGGGGATATACCTTATTAGGTTTTTAGATTCTAAGCTAGACGCGGATAGTATGAAAACAGGTTGAAGAAAAATAAACATGATAATAAACAATAAAACTGGTTATCAGTTTAGATCTTGATTCATGATTTTTTGCCTCCTGTTTACATCTCCATATGTGGAATTAACATTTTGAAAGTATTATTTTTTCTCAGAATGTTCATAATCGATCAGTTTTATGAATGTTTATGACAGACTCGAATAGTATAATTATATACGGTCATTAAAATAGCAACAATTTATTTTTTTAAATTCCATGTGTATTACAAACATTTTTATAACGTATCTAGTACTGTTGTCCATGAACTGCGAGATTGACGTGGTGAAGTGTCACTTCGGGTGACATAGAATGTGAACTATAATACAAATATTAGATTTAAAAAACACTTCAGCAATTTTCAATTGCGTGTGAATATGAACTATTTACCAACCATTTAAATTGTTTCAACTCTGTCATTCTTGTTTGTCCTATTTGCAATTGCAATGTCAACCAGTGATATGAATTCATGCAGATTACATCCACTAACTGAGCATAATCTTACAATTATTTATGACACTAACTAAATCATTGACACTTCAGTTGGGATAATTTCACTAATGAGATGCAGGTGCAGAAAATTGCCTTCCAATACACCAAGTCCCCATTGTCTCTTCTTATTTCCAAGCTCTGCACATAATGCCAGTTATGTAAGTTCGGTAAAAAATTCTTCATAACGACCATATCATAGTGTGTTTTCACTTGAATCATACAACATTAAATTGAATTTTTTGGTTTGTGTATTAATTGAAAAAACCCATTAATTTTAATATCAAACGTTTACGTTTAAATTATTATATATAGTTGATTTATATTTTTAATAGATTTGAATACTTTGAATTGCCTGAAATAACACACCTGATATTGTTTTGAAAAAGAAAGAACCCATTATACTTTTAAGTCTTTTACGATAATAATATTATCATTTAATAACCAACTTGTGATTTAATTTGCTTTGCTTCATCAGAAAATACATCTGCATGGACAGTGCTTAGGCAGATTAAACACTCCTACACATGGATCGTGTTTGTCTTCATCATAACGCCATTCCGTCCTTGATGATATTGATAACGATCACAAAATGCCAGTAAACATGCAAATTAATTTTCTACGAGAGGATAACTGATTAACATTACGGGCAGTAAGGCACTATAGGTTGGTAGCGCCACTCTGCATGCTAGAGCTAAGGCGTATCCTGTGTTGTTGCATGGCGATTGTATGACAGTCTGGCCTCCATCCTCATTGCAAAAAAAGTATTGTCAAAGAATGCAGCAACAAGAGAATCAATCATGACAAATTAATAATTGCTACATATTGTACAGATGTTTGTGCTTTTTAATATTTTTATGCTTTAGGGGGTATTTAAATTTTCATGTGCTCACCTCTCAACATTATTCAATATAATTCTTTACAGGTAAACGGTGTTAATTTTAAATTGTAATGCAGAATTTTTCGCCTTTAAAGGTTAAGGAAAGTTTAGAGAAGAGATTATTCCTGAAGTGAATGCCCAAATTCAAATAAAAGTGACAAGGGTTCAACCCCTAGTTGACAGCGATGACTTGGGGATTAGGGACCAATTTGAGGAAACCCAATAAAGCCACTGACAAACAGAGTTTAAGTAAGGGACAATAGCGATATGTTTGAGTTTTCCGATGCCAACAATCTAGCACTAACTTGGTGATTGACAAAATTAAACATTTCAACAATCGGGTATATTTGGTCAACAAAACACGGGGAAATTGAACAATTAACCCAATCTGAACGACGGTTATTTGAATGACTTGACGGTCCTTGGCACCGAATGACATGTTCGATGGAACAAACAAGGAAATAATAGCCATTTGACGTGCAGGGTTGAAGAGAATAGCTGTCGATAGATCGACGATTATACCCCCTCGCCGGTCAAACTGGGCTGATTTAATTTTAATTTTATATTTTGGTTTGATAGTGGAGTTTCTGTGAATGATAAACAACTCTAACAAATACAATTGCAAATAATGTTTCTTATGAAAGCGTTTTTTTTATCAGAAAGGTTAACATCAATTACAATGAAAATTGTGAATCTCAATTATTTTTTAATATATTATATATTAATGTATTTAAGGAAAATATGAAATTGTTTTTTTTAATTCAGCCTTATCAAACTGGAATAATGAATGAACTGTTGTGAAGGCAGTGATGTGTGCCTCGCCACATGTATGTGACGGACAACACTCAATGGTGACTGATTCCCCCATGAAGACTGCCAGTGAAGACTGGCAGGCACCACTGGCCATGTGGTTGTTGTGTTAATAGCTTGACGATTAGGTTTCACACATCTGGCATTCTGGGGGCATTAAAACCTATCAGGAGTCAATTACATACGTAATTGGGGTTAGAAACACGACAATTAATTGCCAAAATGTTTGTCCGACTGAGAGAGTTCCTCCTCGGCTCAAAGAACTGTCTGGGTAATTTACCAACAATGTAGATTACTCATTTCCCTATGCAAGTTTGTATACTGAATGTGTGAATGGGTGACGATAACAGGTAATTGGTCAGCTCAGCGCTGACAGTGCCGGAGGCTGTGTCAGAGTGTATTGTGTTAATACATTTACAAGAAAGGTTATGTTACTCTCCTACCAATGATGAAATAGTTTCCACAAATTAAATTTGAAAATAATCTGGCAATGGAATATGAAATTATATTTTTTTTTAACAATAAAACATTTATAAAACGACTAACATGATTACGAAACGTTGTATGCTTTCCATCGCCATTTTGTTGAATATCAGGAATTATTGTTTTCCTTTATCGCAAAGATATTATGTGATATAAAATAATAATTATATGAATAATTCTGGAAGAAAAAAAGCAGTGTTTCTGAGCAATAAATTATTCTTCCTTCAAAGAGAATGTTCCCGTCAGACACACGTTAAACACATTACAAGATAATAAAAGCCATTTTGAGGGCTGTTTATGGCGACATGATCTAGGGTTATGTTGATAACACTTCTAGGTCAACCGTTCAACTGAAACATACCTTGTTGCTTCAAGTAAAGACAAATTTATGTTGATGCACTTTAAACACAACTGACAGTACTTCCTGTAACTTGACATAGAACTTCCTATTTAGCTCTTTACAGGAAACAATACACACATTTGCGAATATGGTAATTTCATTTAGAATTTTTGCTCGTTTGTTTGTTTTTTTACATCAAATTATTTCCCGAGTCTTTACCTCAATACGATACACGTGTAAATAATTCTTTAGCGATTATATATTTATTTGACATGATAACAAGTTTGAATACAACGCTTACCTTCCAACATTTCATCGTCAATATCCTCTGTGTTTTCATCACTACTGAGCGGACTGACTGAGCGGGTAGATTCGTTGACCCGCGGGGTGGGGATTGTCGGTTGTGCCGTAGGTCGGAGGGGTGAGGCTTGCATGGTGTTACCCGCATGATGAAGTAAAAAATCTCTGTGTTGCTGGTTTAGGGCAGGGGATCCAAGGAGTTGGGACTGGGAGAATACCGCGTGGGTAAGAGAACTCATCGCCCGGGGGTCGCCGAGATTCGCTGGGAGGGACGGGGCGACAGACGCTGAGGGCATGAACATATACCCGGGGTAGTAGAGTGGAGGAGATATCCGTGGTTGCGGCGCCATCAAGGCATCGATGGAAAACGAACTGTACATCGGTCTGTGCATGACGATCTGTTTCAGACCCGAACGGGTCGTCCTGCTTCGGGCTTGTATAGAAGTCTAACAACTGGGATCGTTGGCTTTAGAAGTGACGGTATCAGTGTTGTCTAAATTGAGAGGTGTACCCCCTCCGCTATTCATCATCGTCAAGTTACAGTTGACAGCGGGAGGGATGTCTAGCTGGAAAAACCCTCCCAATCACGTGACGGCAAACACAGCCATCCCATTGGTTTAAAGTCACGCGCTGGCTCTTGTCAGAGAATAATTGACAGGTCGACCCAGCACGCTTCCGTCTCTATTGGTCTGTTGCGGGAGGGTTTGAAAAGCGGCCACACCAGTGCAATCAGGCGCTAGTAATTATGATTGATGAAATTAAATTGGACTTGCCAAAATTGAGGTTATCCGTAGCCACTGTAGCCGCGTAGAGATCCATGAAGGCCATGATCCGTGATGGAAAGTCCAAAGAGATAGGTTTTCTATGACTTCAGTACGTTGGCTATCTTATTGGGATGAACCGTGCAGCCTAACTCGCCAGGTCAAGCCTCTACTGTCCCCCCGCGGACCCCCGATGATATGAGATTATGCCCTGCGACCCTCCAAAGTTTGATTACGTTTAGGAACCCCACATCGCTATCCTATCACCCAGCATCTTGCTTCTGCTAAGTTAAAACACATATCTATAATTTCAAGCAATAATACCTTTGATCTTTATCAACCTATGACATTTTATCTACAATATCATCAAATCTGTAATATTTGTATTTTCATTAAATGATTTCTTTGTGTTGACAGATATGTATGTATGCATGTCTGTATATGGGTATGTATTAATCATAATGTTTTGTCATTTTATAATTGCATCTGTTCCGTGAGAATAATCTTATCTTACACGAGAAAACATTTTGTTAGGCAACACAAGCTAGATCAACACCCATTACTGGTAGGCTAATACTTACTAGCGACACAGAGCAGTACATGTATTTGGAGAAAATAATATTATTTCACTAAGGAAAAATAACATTTTATTCCAAACTTATTCTTAAATATATTAAATAGATTTCAGAGTATTATATTCTGATGTGGAGATCAATCTTTTTCGATACTCTAAATAAAATTGATTTAAAGTTAAATCGCAATTAATCTGAATAATATACTAAAAAAATCTTGTTTATAAACAACATGTTTCATTATTTAGTAATGAAGACTTTGTTGGGAATCGAATTACTAAATACTAAATATAGATAGTATATTCAATTTTTATTATGTACGCAGAATACGGTATTATCAATAAACGTTTTTATATGTCTATCAGTATCAATATATCCCGCATCCTAGATTTTCTTATTCAGCCAATTGTATTTTTTGTTATTATATTACTGCAGTAGTATGTGTTATAGAAGCAGAAATTTAATTTATTCTTTCTTCGTAAACTACGAATATACGCAGTAAGCCTGACAGGTTGTATGAGGGGTGTGATCCCTTCTGAGCCATATGGGCAACAAACTCCGCAGTGAATAATAAGACACGTTGATAACCAGTAGCATAGCCCAGTCCAAAAATAAAGCATTTAAATCCGAAACTTGATATCCACAAACATCGCTATCTAATTATGACCAGAGTAAATCAAATTTTATTGCTGCGCCGCAGATTATGAGACCTCAGTGCGCAATATCATAATTTCATAAACAGACATGTCAAATGCAATTAAAATTTTAATAGTATTACCCACTGTGAAATTCAGCTACGGAATTATGGGCTGATGGGAATAATTTCCCTTTGAATTTAGGAAAAATATAAATTTCAAAATTGAAATTTAGCTGGTGATTCTATTATAGATTTCTTTGTGTGTAGCATTTTTAAAATTAAAAATCTAAATATCATTCTTAAAATGATTGAAATGGATACATAAATGTGTATATTTCACGAAGTGTGCACATAAACATTTACAAAATAAATCATTGAAATTTGAAGAAACATATTCATCCTGTTCAAATCTAGAGAAAAAACACGAAATGCAAATGTTTAAAAATCAATTATTTTCCCTCAGGGAATCCAAACAATTAATTGACTATGAAAAGAAATGTGTTTAACATCAACACCCGGCCTCTGGCAAAGTCGCTTTCTGTCCTGATCAGTAATCAACGGCTTAGTAAGTGTGTAGCGTCTAATTTTACCTATATACCCCAGGCGTATTTTTGTGTTAAATCAAGGAGACAATTGAAGATACAATAAACTTGTCACGCCCATTTGTGCTAAAACCTGAATTGTTTGTATTCGTAACTATCTGTAACAAAGATGAAAAGGGGAATAATGTTTACATTAATTTTCCTGCATCATTGTATTTGTTGAGTGAATAAACATATACAACAGACAACAATTACAATTAGTGTTTTGTTGACCTTCGACCCTGAACAAAAACATATACTATACAAGACGTGAACGGGTTATTCTTAAACCAGGATTCCCGTCGTTTAATTAATTACATTGCCATCTCTTTAAATGTATGTGTGCATAAACATTAATCGTTGCAAGTATCATCAAAATAAAAATATTATTTTTTTGTTTTCGTAGAGTGTGGAGGATGAGGAAGAAAGAGTATAAAGTCATGCCGTTAATAATACATATCAGATATTTCAGCATAACGTCAGAGTGAAGGAACGAGCTAATTAGGAGATTCAGTGCATTGCAATTCGTAGCCAGGTACGAACGTTTTCAGTGCAGAACAATTCATCCACCGACTATTAAGCATGCTCATCTTATTCAGTGAAACTCTTAAGTGGGCTCGCATTTCCAAGAGTTAACCACTCCGATAGAAGAAAAATCAGAAAATTGTGTAAAAATGCACGAAACCTCCCCAGATTTACCGATGATTTCATCTTGGTGATATCGCGCGGTGGTACACAGATCTCTCGGCCTTCAAAGCTTGCTTCCGCGAAGTCGCAGTCTCCTGTTTCAAATCACCTTAAAGGTTTCACGACAAAGTTTTAGGTTTTGTACATTGTGTGAACGTGTGAGGAAGAGGTTGTGACGGATAACAAGCTGACGGCCTATTGTCACCTGGAGGACACGTGCCCTTGTGCTCATTAACACCGCATGTTTTGCTACACAACATAATGACATCGACAAGCACTGGTTTTGTTTGGGGTTTCTGGACTCGAACACGCATTTATTGCTCTCCGAAATTAAAACACATTTTTTTCTTTAAAATATCCACGTTATTCATCGGTGAAGAAGTTCAAGATACTTAGTGTCTGTGAAGAGTGGTGTGCTTTCATTATGCTGTTCCCCTCCCTGTATTGATATCTTATCAATGAGGATAGAGAAGCTATTTTTATCCCGCTGACAAAAACAGAAAGATACGCACGTGCACATGCACACGCATAAGAGATTGTGCTTGTGGTTGTAAAGTCACTAGAACCGCATTATATTATAATCAATTCATCAATGTTATAAATGACAATCAATATGTACCTTGTCGGCTATGTGTTTATGGTGGTGGAATACTTTACACAAGCGTGGAACTGTTTGCATGTGCGTGTGGGTCCGTCCTTGTGTGCGTGCGCGGACGCCTGTTTGTGTGTGTACGTGCGTGTCTGTGTGCGCGCACGCGTGTGTAGTATCGTTATATCCAGTTTCAGGTTATCATATATCTATTTTGCGACATCATCTTTTGCAGCTAGACAAAGCAACGTTAATATCCACTGTGTAGATCCTTGTATGCCCTTCTATGTATCTGGAAACGATTTCGTTAAAAGTTTCTGCTGATCTGATTCATTGTCTAAATTATGTGTTGTATAATGATGGTGATAATGACATTATAAATTGATAGTACAGTGGTGGTGATGTAAACTGATGGTATATGGTGGTGATAATGTCATTATAAACTGAAGCTGTATGGCGATGATAATGTCATTATAAACTGATAGTATAGTGGTGGGAATAATGACATAATAAACTGATAGTTTGTTGTGGTGATAATGTAATTATACACTGATAGTACAACGGTGGTGATAATGTTATTATAAGGGTAACGCTATTTTTCAGGGCATTATCATTTGCAGAAGCCCAAGGTCTTCCATTAACTGACCGACGAAGGATATAAACTGATAGTATATGGTGGTGATAATGTCATTATAAACTGATGGTGTATGGTGATGATAATGTCATTATAAACTGAAAGTATAGTGGTGGCAATAATGTCATTATAAACTGATGGTATATGGTGTTGATAATGACATAATAAATGTATGTATGGTGTATTGTGGTAATAATGCCATTATACACTGATAGTACAATGGTGGTGATAACGCCATTATAAACTGATAGTTTATTGTGGTGATAATGTCATTATGAACTGACAGTACAATGGTGGTGATAATGTCATTATACACTGATGGTATATGGTGGGAATAATGACATAATAAACTGATAGTTTGTTGTGGTGATAATGTAATTATACACTGATAGTACAACGGTGGTGATAATGTTATTATAAGGGTAACGCTATTTTTCAGGGCATTATCATTTGCAGAAGCCCAAGGTCTTCCATTAACTGACCGACGAAGGATATAAACTGATGGTATATGGTGGTGATAATGTCATTATAAACTGATGGTGTATGGTGATGATAATGTCATTATAAACTGAAAGTATAGTGGTGGCAATAATGTCATTATAAACTGATGGTATATGGTGTTGATAATGACATAATAAATGTATGTATGGTGTATTGTGGTAATAATGCCATTATACACTGATAGTACAATGGTGGTGATAACGTCATTTTAAACTGATAGTTTATTGTGGTGATAATGTCATTATGAACTGACAGTACAATGGTGGTGATAATGTCATTATACACTGATGGTATATGGTGGTGATAATGACATAATAAACTGATAGTTTGTTGTGGTGATAATGTAATTATACACTGATAGTACAACGGTGGTGATAATGTTATTATAAGGGTAACGCTATTTTTCAGGGCATTATCATTTGCAGAAGCCCAAGGTCTTCCATTAACTGACCGACGAAGGATATAAACTGATGGTATATGGTGGTGATAATGTCATTATAAACTGATGGTGTATGGTGATGATAATGTCATTATAAACTGAAAGTATAGTGGTGGCAATAATGTCATTATAAACTGATGGTA